AGCTGGTGGCAAGGGTTGGTTTGTATGTGTGCAGAAAGAGGCCACATTGCCAATACAATTATTGACACAAAAATGCATAATATTACAACAATTGAGCAGTATTAAGACAATTTTATAGTAAAACATCAAAATAAATCATATTAGTACTGTAAACACTGAACTACTGAGTTGAAATATTAAACTATGGTGCAGTACCAAGTTGAGTACAGCATGTCGCAGTATTGGACCAATACAAGGCTCCATTGACTGCCATTATAATTCATTAAACATTAATATTTCATAAACTATAAGTTTTACAGGCACCAAAAGGCATAGCCATCATTTGGCACAGGAGCTTTACAGATATAAATTACAATGGCAGCTCTAGGACAAAGTTTGCAGGAGGAGAAGCATGGCAAAGTTGAGATGACTTGGATGGGAAACGAATCACAATATTGTGCATTGCATTGGCAATGCACACTGATAAATGATAAAACTCAAAATGTGATTCAAAAGTTAAAGATATTAAAGTTTATAGATGAACTTTCTGTGATCTGTTTAAACTTTTAATGATGTTTCTGCTCTGAGGATCACTGCACAGCTCCAAAGATGGATGGATTTTCTCATCGTTTTCTCAAAAATCTAATATTTTTTACGACGTGCTTTATTATTCCCAGCTGAGCCAAACATTTGTTATATAATTGGCTTGTTTACTTCAAAGCTACAGATAAAAACGGGGGCTCCACGCTGGAGCATCAGCAGATATTAGTGAGGGTTTTAGTGACTGACCTGTGCTGGCGGTGCTCCGTCCTCTGGAGGGCGCCGTGCACCACCTGCCTGAGCCGCTCCAGGAAGGAGGCCACGCCGGGCTGCCTGGAGGGCAGACCCAGCCTGAGAGCTCCGCGCTCCCTGCACAGCTCCTCCAGCTTGTTCCCGAAGCGCTCGGCTGGAAGCAAACAAAACGTCTGATCACTCTTTGAAGATAAACGTTTTCCTCGGGTCAAACTGAGAGGGGTCCCAGGACTCGACTCCAAACGCAGCAGAGTGTCGAAACTTGAACCACAGGGCAAACGCTTTGAAAAAGYTCCACGTTTTTAAAAGTATTTTTATTTCTTTTTTTGTTTTTCCTGTAGGTTAACAGGTAGACTAGAAGGTMAACTTTAGTTCTGCTGCTTTGAAACATTAAATTATTGTTTTATTATTCTGAGGAAGCAGAGGGAGACTGAACTTACAGTTTTAATATCTTCTGTTTTCTTTGTCTGTAGCGTTAGCAAAATATCTCATAAATCMTTATTGAAAGCTGCAGAAAGTACTGGACCAGWCTGACTCAGAGGAAATCCCATTCAAGATGGCCGCCACAGCTAGTCAATATTATCAAACACAGCTACACCTCAGTCAGTTTGACAGATCTTGAGCTAAACTTTGGTGTGGTAGTAGCTGAGAGTCGTCCACGACACATAATCTGAGCACTGAGAGGTGCAGCCAGACTTTGTGATTTTATCCAGGATAATTTTGTGAGATTTGACCTCAACTCTGTGGTTCTTCAACATAAAAACTAATATTTCGGCTAGCGGTGGTGTTCAGATTACCGGCGTCGTAGTCGTCGTCTAGGATGGCTTTCTGCTGGAGCCTCTGCAGCTTCAACATCAWGGACTCGATCTTTGAAGAGACGGGAGACAGAACTGTGAGTCGGCTGCAAAGAGGCGAGAGCAATGACCCCCGTTTCACCACAACACCMGAGGATTGCATCATGTTTCATTTCCTCACATCAGCTCCTCCACTTACAATATTCAGTTTAAAGAACATCATCCCCACCGGGGCCGGCCCGTGGCAGAGGCAGTGTAGGCAAACACTAGGGGGGACGCCACAGATGGGGGCACGAAAACAAAACACAATTTTGTGTTTTATAATTTGATGAGTTTTTATGAAATTATAGTTGATTTAATCTGTAAAATCTCAGCTGCTGAGTCAGCACTTTTTTTTTTCTTCAAATCTAACTACGAAGCTTCTGCTGTTTTTCAGTTTATAAATCGAAACGTTCAGGAGATGTTTCACTTTCGTACGGCACAACTTTGAAACTTACCAGAATGTTATTTTTTTATTTTCCTTTTGTAGAAGTGCTTTGAAATCACTTCAGTTCTTTTTAAAAACATTGTTCTCTTTAAAATCGCAGCACTTCCCGTTTTGTCTTCTTAAGCTACTTTTAGTTTTTAGCTACTGCTCTGCTACTTGTAGCTTTTAGCTAATTTGAGCAATTAGCTAGCAATTTATTTTTCACTTTTGCTGAGCCTTCTGTTATGTTTACATTTGTTTTGATAAGCTAGCCTTTTGCTACTTTTAGATTTTATTTAGCCTTTTCATACATTTAGCTAACCTATACCTATTGTATAACCTTTAGCTAGTGTTATTACCCCATTAGTGCTTAGCTAGCATTTTATTACTTTAACATTAATAGCCTTTGTTATATTTAGTCAGGCTTTTGATACTTTTTAGCTATCTAGTTGTTACTTTTAGCATTTAGCTAGTGTTCTGAAGATATTCTGATACATTTAAGCTTCTAATAACCCTTTTGATTTTTATTTATTTTAGTTTTTAGCTACACTTTTACTAATTTTAGTTTTTAACTAGTAGCCTATAGCTATTTTTTGAACTTTTAGCTAGTGTTACCTCATTAGTGCTTAACTAGCATTTTATTACTTTTAACATTAACAGCCTTTGTTATGTTTAGCTATCTCTTTGCTACTTTTGGGATTAAGCTAGTGTTTCGTTGCTATTAGCTTTTAGCTATTCTTTTAATACTTTAAGCTTTTAACAAACCTCTTGATACTTTTGGTTAGATTTTTATTTATTCTAGTTTTTAGATACCCTTTTACTACTTTTAGTTTCTAAATAGCTTTTTTGATACACTTTGCTAGCCTTACGCTATTTTTTTACTTTTAGCTAGTGTTATTGCCTCATTAGCATTTAACTAGCATTTTGTTACTTTTAACATTTTCTTAGCCTTTATGTTTAGTTTTAAGCCATCTTTTTGATACCTTCGCTACTTTTAGCATTTAGCTAGTGTTCTGTTACTATTAGGTTCTAGCTATCCTTTTACTATTTTAAGCTTCTAACTACCCCATAATACTTTTATTTCATTTAGTTTTTAGTTGGGCTTTTGCTGCTTTAGCAATGGTCTCCAAATAATACAGTTTATTGCAATAATTTTGGAGAAAATTTGTCAAAGTGATCATGATGGGCCAAGATTWAAAAAACTGCACAAGGGGCACCACTTCAAATCTTACCCGGGGCACCATATTGTCTAGGGCCGGCCCTGGTCCCGGCACCAGAGGACAACCGTACCCACCTTGGCGTACGTGCGGTTGTTCTGGAGGCAGTCCTGAAGCACGCCTTCGTACTTCCTCACCAGGCCGTCCCAGCCCTGCTCCGAGGCCAGCGTGGTGCTCTCGTAGCCGGAGGTGACAGAGGAGGCAGAGGCGGTGTCCGAGTCCACCTCTAGGTCTGGAGACCGGGGTTCGCAGTCCGGCAGGAGTCTCCTTCCGGGTGGACTCTCCTCCTTCTGGACCTGTTCRGCTCGGGCGCAGGATGGCGGCGGTCGGACGGGAGTGGACTGCTTTGGAAAACCATGCTCAGCGGGGAAAGTGGACGGTTTTGCTTCTGGACTCAGTGGTTCTGGTTCTGCCTTCTGGCTGCAGCTTAAAGACTGCTGGATGAAGCTGAAACTGGAGTTGAAGGAGTCCTCCGGGGGAGAGTGAATGCTGGGGCTCGGACTCGAGCTGGGTTCTGAGGACTGAGCCGGATGGGTTGAGGTTCTGTCTGCTGAGGGACAGGGACGTCTCCCAGGACACAGGAAGTGGTTCCTGTTGAAGGTGCTACATGTTGGTTTGTTGCAACGCTGCTGATTCATTAAGGACACTTGAGGAGGCGTGGCCTCAGCGGGACATCCAGATTTTTCACTCCTAATGCAAACAGTGCTGCCCTCCTCTTCTTCCTCCTCCTCCTCCTCCTCAGCACGAGCAGCACCCTGCAGTCCGGTCTGCTCTCCTCTCATGCACCCCGGTCTTCGGTGGAGCCTCTTATGTCCAGCTGTCCCTGATGCTTTGCCACCTGTTGAAGCAGAGATTAACCGTTAAGCTGGGTGACCCGGTTCTGTGGGAGATAAAGCGTCAGGATAAACAGACACAAACTGCAGCAGCACGAGTGAAAAAAAAAGGACAAAAACTCCAGCATCAACAGAACAGATGTGATGTTTCCCACAGTTCTGCTCCAGCTGTTGGGAAATACCAAAGTCATATTTCAACAGAGACACGCCTCTCAGGGAAAAGTGGCCTAAAGAGTTTTTTTTTTGTTTGTTTTTCATTTGGGTTTGTTTACCTTCTGCTCCAGACAACAAAACTGCTCCAACACATAMTAAATAAAGAGTAAATAATGTTTTTTGTCTGTGTGAGTTTTAACAGCTTTTTATGAATCGAAGGACAGATTTTAGTAAAACTGATGAGTTTAGGACGACGGAGCTCAGTTTGTGTCGAGGCACCTGCTCCAGCCTCACATAATGCGGAGCTTCAGAGGAGGATGAAGGCTGAAACTTCGGCTATCAACAGCCTCTTTGTGTACAGCTGTAAACACCCCCCCCCCCCCCCAGTTATCTCCCCACTCACATGGAAAACACACACTGATACGTTTGTGCATCAGTCAACCATACTCCCTGTTAGAGCAATAATTAAAGTCTGAAAGTACTAGAAGCACAGCAAAAAGCTAACATAAGGAAAAAAGTTAGCGATACGCTAGCTAATAGAAGCAAAAGGTTAGCTAAAAGTGTACAAAAGTTTCCTTAGAGCTAAAAGAAACAAAAGATTTGCTAGACGCAAAAAAGAGGAAGACTAGTAGCTAATACACAAACATTGCAAAAGGCTAGCTAAAGTTTAAGTAGCAGAAAGATAGCTAGAAGCGTAAAGTAAAAACCAGCAGGCTAAAAGTTTAAAAAATAACAGCATTAACTAAAATCTAAAAGGAGTAAATGCATAAGGAAAAGAATAGCTAAAAGTAGCAAAAGGTTAGCTAAACGCTAAATGTAGAAACAGGCTAGCTAAAAGCATAAAAGTAAAGATTGTAGCTAAAAGCTAAAAGTAGCAAACAATGGGCTGATAGTATTAAAATCTTGCTAGAAGCTAAAATGTGAAGGCTGGTAGCTAAAGCTAAACAATCAAAAGGCTAGCTAATAGCTTAAAAGTAGAAAGGTGATAGCTAAAAGCTAAAAGTAGCAAAATGTTAGCTGAAAGTATTAAAATGCTTGTTAGAAGGTAAAAGTTGAAGACTGGTAGCTAAATCTAACAAAGCAAACGGCTATCTAAAAGCTTAAAAATAAAAAGGTGATAGTTAAAAGATAAAAGTATCAAAATGTTAGCTGAAAGCATTAAAAGGCTTGCTAAAAGCTAAATATTGCAGACTGGGAGCTAAATCTCAATGTAAATAGCTAGCTAATAGCTTCAAAGTAGAAAGGTGATAGCTAAAAGCTAAAAGTATTAAAATGTTAGCTGAAAGCATTAAAAGGCTTGCTAAAAGCTAAATATTGCAGACTGGGTGCTAAATCTAAAAGYAAATAGCTAGCTAATAGCTTACGTAGCAAAAGGAGAGCTAAAAGCAGCAAAATGTTAGCATGAAGCTAAAAGTAGAAACATGTTAGCTAAATGTTTAAAAATAGAAAGGTAACTGCTAAGAGCTAAAAGAAGCAAAATGTTAGCTGAAAGTATTAAAAGACTTGTTAGAAGCTAAAAGTTGAAGACTGATGGCTAAATCTAAACAAAGCAAACGGCTATCCAATAGCTTAAGTAGCAAAAGGATAGCTATTAGCAGCAAGATGTTAGCTAGAAGCTAAAAACAGAAACGGTTATTTAAAAGTTTAAAAGTGACTGCTAAGAGTTAATGTAGCTAAATGTTAGGTGTAAGTATTAAAAACCTTGCTGGAAGCTAAATGTTGTATATTGGTAGCTAAAACTAAACATAGCAAAAGGCTAGCTAGAAGCTTAAAGTAACAAAAAGCAGAATGATAGCTAAAAGCCAAAAGTAACAGAGCAATAACTAAAACCTAAAAGTAGCTAAAGCACAGCTAAAAATTGAAAGTAACATACAGTATGTAAAAAATTGTAAGTGAACAATGTTTTTGAAGGAAATGAATAAATCTGACTGTTTCTATTGATTTGTAAATAAAGTGATTCAAYGTCTCTGCAGCTGTAACCATTATTGCGGCTCCCTGTGCGCTCCGGTGGGGATGCCTCCTGTCCCGTGTGACCGGAGGGGCAACATGGCCGCCAGGCTCCACTCACCACAGAACGGGTACGTTAGAGGAGCGAGGTTTGTGGGGATTTTAATCTGAGTAAAGCAGAGGACCCTCCACAGTAAGAGCTTTCCTGTCCACTGGGACTGCCACAATAAAAGCTCCGGTTACACGCAGTTTCATCCATCAGTGCTGCTCTGCAGATGTGGCCACCGTCCCATTAAAGACATCAGAAACCCAACACGCTCTGAGAGCACCAAACACACCGGCCACCATCTGGTGTGACACACACACACACTCACACACACACACACACACAACTCTAAGGAGCCATGCGGGTTGATGGTGGCGTTACTGTATCCCCCCGTACACCAGTTACATAAAGACCGCCTTTCTCTGTAAATGGGAAGGAAACGCCTGGGGGCTCATTCTATATATGTGTGTGTGTGTGTGTGTGTGTGTGTGTGTGTGTGTGTGTGTGTGTGTGTGTGTGTGGTCATCCACATCCCAGCCTTTCRGAGGTATGTCATCCGCGACATCCTGTCAGGCTCTGAGCTAAAACGGTTCTTCAAGAATTCTACCAGAAAACACAAACGAGCGCAAACAGGCCTGAAGATTTTAGTCACTTAAAAAAAATAAAAGACACTGAGCTCAGAATGTGTGCTGAGAACAACTCTCAGCTACTACCTCAACAAATTTTAATGTTTGCTAATTACCTGTGAATAAATTGAATTATAGACATTTTTCTTGTTTTCTGAGATTAGCTGCCGTCTGAAGTCAGATTAAAGTTGAACGGTTCTTTCCTGAAAGCCTCRTTTAATCTAAGCAGTGTTSCATGAGATATTTCGCTAACAGACACACAGACATGAGCAAAAACATTAGCACCCACTGCTGAAAGAGGTGGGACTGTTTACCTTTGCAGAGAGAAAGAGTCCCACCTCAGAGTCGTGTCATAAAAACACAAACATCAGATCAGAACCCAAACAGACCTCCTGACAGCTCGGCTGGCGCGCAGCACCTCATTGCTTGTGACGAACGTCAGCTGAACGTCAGCCGAACAAAGAGGGAAGTGAAAGTTTGACACATTTTAAAAAACAAGATGTGTCACACTGCAGCCAGGAAGTTCAAATATAAAGTCTTTTTTCAAAGATAAATGTTGCAAATAGCTAGATGGGACAAAAAGCTAGCTGAAATTATCCAGCTGCTAGCTAGACGTGACAAAACTAGCTAAATTTATAAAACTATCATAATGTTAGCTAGATATGACAAAAAGCTAGATAAAATTATCATAATGTTGGCTAAATGTAACAAAAAGCTAGCTGAAATTATCCAGCTGCTAGCTAGATGTGACAAAAAACTAGCTAAATTTATAAAATTATCATAATGTTAGCTAGAAATGACAAAATCTAGATAAAATTGTCATGACGATGCAAGCTAGAAGCTAAAAGCAGAAATAGGCTACCTAAAAGTAAAAAAGGTCATAGCAAAAATTACCAAAAGGCTAACTAAAAGTAGCAAAATGTTAGCTAGAAGTGGCAAAAAGCTGGCTAAAAGTACCAAAGGTGGTAAAAAGCTAGCTAAAAGTAGCAAAATGTTAGCTAGAAGTGGCAAAAAGCTAGCTAAAATTAGCAAAATGTTAGCTAGAAGTGGCAAAAAGCTAGCTAAAAGTAACAAAATGTTACGTAGAAGTGGCAAAAAACTAGCTAAAAGTAGCAAAGGTGGCAAAAAGCTAGCTAAAAGTAGCAAAATATTAGCTAGAAGTGGCAAAAAGTTAGCTAGAAGTTGCAAAAAGTAGCTAAATGTTAGCTAGAAGTGGCAAAAAGCTGGCTAAAAATAGTAAACTGTTAAGCTAGAAGTGGCAAAAAGCTAGCTAAAAGTAGCAAAATGTTAGCTAGAAGTGGCAAAAAGTTAACTAGACTCTAGAAGCAGAAAGAGGCGTAAAAGCTTAAAAAAGATGGTAGCTAAAAGTAGCCAAATGTTAGCTAAAAGTATTAAAAGTCTTGCTAAAAAGCTTGCTAATATAAACGTAAAAACCCTGTCAGACGCTAGTAGCTAAAAAGCTGATAGCTAAATAAAAAGACAGAAAGGCTAGCTAAAAGTAGCAAACTGTTAGCAGAGGCAAACAGTTAGCTAAAATGTTCAATGTTATCTAGAAGCTAAAAGCAGAAGCAGGCTAAAGCTGAAAGTAGAAAGATGAAGGTTAAAAGCTAAAACTATTAAAAGGACAGCTGAAAGTATGAAAGTAGGCTTGTTAGAAGCTAAAAGTTGCAGATAGGTAGATAAAATGAAACAGCAAAAGGCTAGCTAAAAGTAGCTAAATGTTACCTAGAAGCTAAAAGTAACAAAGGGTGAAAGTAATAAAATCCATGCTAAAAGGTGTAGTGTACTTAAAAGTAGCTGAATGTTAGCTAGAAGTGGCATTAATCTAGCTAGAAGTAGCTTAATGTTAGCAAGAAACTAAAATTAGAAACAGCCTATCTATAAGCTTGAAAGTAGAAAGATGATAGCTAAAAGCTACAAGTAGCTAAAGGTTAGCTGAAAGTAACAGTAATCAGCAGCCAGGAAGCTAGAAGGTACATTCCAGGGACTTCCTGTGTGACCACGTGACCAAAAATCCAGGAATGATGTCTGTTAGCAAAATATTGTTTACTTTTTATGGAGCAAACAGATTTTTAAACAAATCCAGTCTTTAAACTTCACTGGTTTATTCCAGCAAAAACCTCATAATCCAGACTACAGARGAAGTGCAATGATTTTTTATTTTTATTTTTAGATTTGAATGTTTTAAGGCAGCAGCACTTTCATTTTAAAATGGCTGAATTATTMCTCAGAATAAAATCTAACAAGCTACAGTTTTCAGGTTTGTCTTAKTTTATAAGGAACCCTCTGAGCTCTGGGACACAAAGATGTTTTTACTGTTAATGAACATTTGAAGCCAATTATTTAAACAAAACTCCTTCCTCCTCAAGTTAAAACCTAAAATTCAAGTTATAACCTCTCTATATGAACGTATTTAAAGTTGTAGATTAGTTCAAAGCACTTAAAGTGACGTAAAAATACATTTTAAAAAGTTTTATTTACCCTCTGAGGCTCCACAGTGGTGAAACCTGGACTTCCGGTGACAGTCCAGTCCCATCAGTCCCGCAAACATCTTTAGTTGTCTGTAAGTAAAAAAGCAGTTTCAGACAACAGACGGAGAAAAGTTCATTTTTAACTCCGTTTCCGTTTCAACATGTAAACAGCGGCTGTTTGTGCTCCAACAAACATCTCCCGACTCCAGAACCGGGCGGCTCTCCGGGTTTTTTCCTCCGCGGGCTTCAGCGCGCATGAGCAAACCGGATAAAATTAAAAAAAAAAAAAAGTCACTGTTTTTGTGTTTCTTCTGGTTTTAAAGTTGATTAAACATCCAACACTGCGACCGGAGAGACGTGCCTGACAAACCGGAGGGCAGATCATTGATCCGTTATCCGCTGCGTCGTGCGTCGTGCGTCGTGCGTCATGGAGCGCGAGGAGCTCCTACGTGTTCAGGAATTTGACTCCAGACTCCCTCAGACCGCCTCATTACATGAGCGCCCCGCCCAGCTGAAAATAAATGACTATAAATCAGTCAGTCTGACAGAATGAGCTCAAATCTAGAGTGGTAGTAGCTGAGAGTCATTCACAACACATAATCACACATGAGCAACAGGTGGCCCGAGGGCCAAAAGTGGTCCTTGGACTATCTCAAGCTGGTCCCAATATTTATTTTTATTCAAATTAAAAGAAGTAAGTTACGTTTATGGAATAATCTCGGAGAAGATATAAAAATTACCACAAAAATTAATATGTTAAAAAAATTATAAAAGCTAATTATTGAAAAATAAATATGTG